TGCAGGCGCAGCATGTAACAGGGGGTGTATGGGGATGTTGGTGGGGTTATGGGGGGTTATGGACCCCTAAAAAATAAAGAAATAAAATTTTCCAGGGTGCTAACTAACCGCCAACCAGTAGGTGCCGATGGGTTGAACAGTCAGCTGCTCGGCCGCCAACCAATCCAGGAGCGCTGACTGTCGGCGTGACTACTCCACAGGTTACTCTGTTTTGTAAAAAAGAGGAAAGAAAATTGCATGGAGAAGGATGTCCAGCATTCCTAGGTGTGAGTCTTTGAGGAAACTCTATGCTTGTCTTTCTCCTCTATCTTTGTTCTCTCATCCACCCTTCTCTTCTTCTTCTCCCTTTTTCCTCCTTCCCATGCGTTCTCTACCTATGCTTTCTGGCTTTTCTTCCCTTCTCGTTACTTTTCCTTCCCTCTTCCTTTCTTCTCCTCCTTTTCTTTCTCCTTTCTCGGCTTCTTCCTTCCCATTCGCACTGCTTATACGTGCTTCTGCAAATTCTCACGCCACAGGAATGGGAAGGAGAGTGACAGTGAAGCAGAAGATCTAGAACATGCTGAGAAGCTTCGCCATGTGAAGGCTGTTCTTGAAGAGGTGAGATTTTAGATGGCATTTTCATGGGTCACATAAAAGCTGTTGTGTGCTGCTTTCTCAGAACAGTGAAGGTCATATAAGTATGTATTCTGTAAACTGGTGAAATAATTATAAAAATGAATCGTCTGTATGCATGAACCTATGGAATGTGTTGGCATTCCAGAGAGTCTTTTCCTTCGACGTGAAAGCCTCATCCCATTGAAGAATGCAACAATTGAACAGCGCTTCCGCATCTGACAGAACCAAAGCAGAGAAGGTTCCTTTCGACACTGTTAACGTTCCATTCAAGTGTTTCAGCGCATGAATCCTTTCACGTCCCTTACGTTTCCCATGGCTAAGACTTGTAAATGTAGTGGAGCTTCATTTATTTGCTGTGCACTGTGGAGCTCGTTTTCTGTGACTGTGGCACTGTGAAATGTCTGCAAAGAGGCATGCTTTCTTTTTTGCTTGATTTTGGAGGGCTATAGGGTCACAGCCCCAAATTTTATTGTATCAAGTGGTACTTGTAACCCCTGATCTATTTAGGAAGAGTTCCAATTGTGCACCATTAAGCCGCATGGGCTGGTGACACAAAGGTGCACACAGATTCTGCAGAAAATATTTGTACGAGGTGCTGTGAAATGTCTGAAAAGACACACATTTTACTGCAGACATTATACTATGACTATAGAGTGACGTATAACAGTAGCCTCTGCAGCATTTGCACGAGATATTTGTATTTGTGAACTACTTTTATGTTGGAGAAGGTCTCTGAATGGCTTCTTCTTTCTTCAGGGGGGGCACTTCTCCGGAATCTATAGAAAAGTACAACTGAAGCCAATCAGGTGGAAGAGTGAGGAGTCACAGGATGGCGAAAGCTCAGAAACAGAATCTGGTGAACCTGCAGAGGCATTGCTTGTACTGAAGTACGGTGGTGTGCTGACTCACGCTGGACATAAGCAGGTAAATTTCACATGCCTGACATGTCTTTTCAAAGTCTTTTGACTCTTTTCTCTTTTACTTCTTAATAAGTTCTTATGTGTGAGGAAAAAAAAAAAAAGTTCTTATGTGTGAGTCACTGTGACAGACTCTTGCTGGACATAAGCAGGTAAAGTCCACATGTTGTACATGCCTTTCGAGTTTTTCTCTCAACAGTGTGACAACTGCTAAGTTGCTAACTGAATCTGGAAGCAACAGAGTTTGGATTAGCTGATCATTTCCAAACACCATGTCCTCTTTCATTTTTAATAAGCCATAGCGGCAACCATTATCGTACCCACTTCCATTAGGATTCAAACTCAGGATCTGTTTTTTAATTGTTACATTTGCGTACCATACATGGCCCCTCGTTTTAAAGTTATAGCCCCTAATGCTATTGTTGTATACATCTGAGGGCTGAGCCCCACTGTCGCAAAAATAAACCAGCATTGGCACATTCTTCGATGGAAAGGCCGAGCAAAATTCGGGGGAACGGGAAGTGTCGGTTGGGGAGGGATTGAGGGAAAAGTCGGGGCCATGCAGCATTTCTTAGCTGTTCAGAATAACGGGAGGTTTGTGGGCTTCTCTAAGGCATGCCATATAGGGGGACTGGGGTTTGTATTGATTGATCGGTTCTCTTCCCCCTCGTTGATTTTGCCATACACGGACCTGACAGTGCTTCCCTGGTCTGCGATGCACGCCACATGGAAGCCCCATTTTAACTGTTGCTGGTACGGACTCGGGAACTCGTATTCCTGGCAGAGGTTGGTGCTGGGGTACGAAGGATCCATCCGGTTCCCAGATCTCAAAAAACAAAAATAGAAGAATAAGAACTACTGCAGTGAAACAAACATCAGCGATAGAGGACAAAAAAACATGCTGAAAATATCGGGCATTAAAAATCCTTCCTTGTTGCAACCGAGTCCTTAGGGACTGTGATCGAGTAACGTCTAAAATACTCAATGGCTGCAGCTGCAGTTAAAACTGAACGTCCCTTTTTAACCAAACACAAGGGGAGAGGGGTGGAGAGGGACGAGGGAGGAAACATGGTCAACTAGCTAGAGGGGGGGTAGGGCAGCAAGAACACCTATATTAGAAGGGGGATAGAGCACCTAAATGTTCGCTTATATTAGAAGGGGGATAGAGCACCTAAATGTTCGCTTACCACCTTTCTTGAGGACCACCTCTGAGAGCGTGGAGTGAGAGCCAAATGGACATGCTCTTGATAGTTTCCTTTGTCTGAGAGTCAAAGGCAGGATTCTCGATCAACACGTTGACGAAAAACCATACGTGGCTCGATAGACTCCCCATTCTTATAAATGGGGGTGAAAATTGTGGGGTCGGTTAACCTTCTGTTATTAGGCAATGTCGTCGTCATCACTTTTTGGGTGCCCCACTGGCCCCGGTAATGCAATATATATCGTCACAAACAGAACTGCCCGGTAAAACCGTAGGCAGACAGAGAGAAGAGGACAACAAACGAGGGGCTGTGACAAACTGTTTCGTCGGAGTTTCACCGACTCATGCCCCACTGCATTTGCGGTAATGAAAGTCCCAGGTCCAAACTTTGGCCAGACACCCCAGCGGTTGAACCAGCTGTATTCCTGGAGCAAATAAATCGAACAGTCAAATTTTCCACGGACCCCAAAAAGATGTGAAACTACACCCCCCTTGATTTCAGTGAACATCAAAAGATGTGGAATTACATCCCTCAGTATTCTGGGCAGTTTTACCACGGGAATTGTTTAGCGCATTTATGTTTTTTTTTTTTAATCTTTTTCCCGTAAAGATTGGGACTGAAAGGCCTTCCACGATTCAGACCCCAAATTCGAATTTCAGGGTCAAGGTCCTAGGCCAAGAAAGGCCAGGTCGGTCAGTTTCAGAGAAGTCACAGTCGGGTACCTTAGAGGTCAAATCCAACAGGCACACCGATGAACAGTCACATCCCAGGGGTAAAAGTCACGTCTCCGTTTTTTTTTGTTTTTTTTTTTTTTTAACCAAACAGAACCTTGCGGTTCTGGCTCCTTTTCCATTCTGGGGAGCATCAGTCCGGTTCCTATTCCACCGGCAAGTCAGAAAAGATTACAAAAGATACTCACACACGCTCCTCCCCTTTATGGTAGGAAGGCCAGAACGACGGCATTGATTACTTCCTATGGGAAGGATGTACCATCATTCACCCCTGCCTAAGTTAGCCTATTTGACGTAATCTTGGGCTTGTAAGGCCTCTCGGGGAAATGTACTCTGTAGTGTGGTATCTGTCTGTAGGATTGTCTAGGCTTTCCTAGTTCTGCCTCTCGGCTGTAGGGCTGTCCGATCTGTGTGTATTCCTGGTGGAGCTAGGTCTGTCTTCCTCAGTCTCCCATGCGATGTCCTTGCCGGGCTTCGTCTTCTCAGCACACCTCTCTGACCCTTTGGGCAGACTTAAGAAAAACCCTAAACCCTAAAACCTTCCTCTGTGTGTCGGCCCTCCAGTAAACGAAATTGTGCATTGACCTGCATTGTTCGTTTCCAGCCCCCCTGAAAGAAGGTCGTCTTTGTGCTCCCTTGATAGCCTCTGGTCAAAATGGTCCTGCTCTCTCGCTTGAATCCTCTCAGATCGTGTCCCCTGGTCCCTGGAAGTGTCCTTTTACTGTTGTAGAGGGCTGGGCTACAAGTATGCCCTGAGGGGATGCCTGCTGGCGAAAGCCTCTTTCTGCAACAGAGTTGTGCCACTCCCTCCAACGTACTCGGTCATCTCGCAAATCTGCAATCTTGCCATTTATCAGCCAATCCCTGTAGAATTTCTGCCTCTCCTTGTTACGTTGTTCTTCGTCATCAGTCCAAGCTTGTTTTATCTTCCGCCATCTGCAGAGGATCTCAGCTTGTATCAGCGTTCTGGCTTCTATCCACACCTTCTCCCGTGGGTTGGATCTCCCCTCGATTGTGCTGCTGCATCTCTCCTTCCAAATGACCCATAGGGTCACTTTCCTGATGAGTTCAAACCAGATCCTTTCTGCCTTTTGCGCCTGGACAGGGATGTTAGTCAAGAGGAGAAGTTGGATGGGCTACTCGGGGAAGGGAGAAGTGAAGAGGGAGTCCCAGAGTGAAGACGCTCTGACCCAGTATTCCGTAGCCTCTTTACAGCGCACCAGGCAGTGAACTAAGTCTTCTACGACACCTTCCGTGCATATTGTACATAAATCCGAGCTGTTGGGGTCTGTGGCCTTCCGTCTGATATGTAGCCATTGGTTCACCGGAAGGGCTGCGTAAGCAATCAGCCACTGCAGACTTCTAATCTTCTTTTTTTTTTTCTTTTCTTTTTTTTTCTTTTTTTAAACAGAACCTTAGAGTTCTGGCTCCTTTTCCATTCTGGGGAGCGTCAGTCCGGTTCCTATTCCACCGGCAAGTCTGGTAAAATTACAAGAAATACTCACTCACGCACCTCCCCCTCAAGGTGTGGAGGCCCGAAGGACGGCATTGATTACCTCATAAAAGAGGGATGTACCACCCTTCACCCCTGCCTAAGTTAGCCTGATCATCTATGTTTCTTCTCTTTTTCCTTTTTGGAACTAAAGCCCTAAACCCTTGCTGACTGCGGCTTGTATGAGGGGACTTCCCTAAGAGAGGTTTCCTTGTTGGGGGTGTTGTATATACCTGTGGATTCTGAGCGAGATGGATGGAAGGGAGGGAGACGAGAAGAGTAAGGTGTGAGGGGCAGGTGATTATGTGATTCCGTACCAAGGGGTATAAGGCTGTGGGCTAGGGGAGGGGCTGTGATGGTTGTTGAGATTAGGGTGGGATTGTAATTGTGTGGGAGGAAACGGGTTTAGTAGTTGATGGTGTTAGCTGAGATGGGATGGTGTGGGGCGAGGGGAGTCACTGGTGGGTTCTTCATCTGTTATGGTTAGTATGTGTGTGGATGGGTTGGGTTGGGGGGAGTTTGTGGAATGAGTTGTGTATTGGTTTGGTCATGTGTGTGTCTGGTTGTTGAGGGCCAGATTAACCAATTAGAAAACCTAATTCTGTCACTATCGATTGTACCTAGTTTGCCTTGTCCTAGTTTGTGGATTAGGATTTTTTTCGTACTTTCTTCTTTTTTGTCTGGTGTTACGATCCTGGCCAATTTCGAAGTCCACAATCATCAGAAAGTACAATGTTGTCCAATTGCGAAAAGAAATGAATGAACTTGAGCCCAATGCCGTCCAATTGCAAAAGAAATGAAAGAACTTGAGAGGAAAGAGAGGGAAAGAAGAAGAAGAAGAATTAAGAAGAAGAAAGAGATGATGTACTCCAGCATAGACCAAAGACAAAGCTCTTCTTCTTCGCTCTACAACCTCCTCCTCTTTATCTCCTCCTCTCTTATTCAAACAATAAATAAACAATAATAATGTTGAACAGCTGAACCAGAATCAATGTCCGAATCCCACTTCTACTGCAGGCACAAGATGAGGCCCACCATAGCCATGGCAGCCCTTCTTCTTCCTCCACATACAGGCCGAGGCTATGGCGGACTACGGAGGCTTCAGCCTCCTGTACAAGAGACAACCTAAAGCAGCTACACCGCTGCCCTACTCCAAGGTCATCACCCAGCAGCTATGCCGCTGCCCACTCAACCGCCATGCCTGACTCTGTCCGAGCTTCCTTGATGCGGCACTACCCCCACTGGGGCCTTCCTGATGCAGCGCCTAGCAAGGAGATGAAGATGKTGTCTACCATAGCCARGTAAGTACCCTACCACTCTCCTCCTTGGTCCCCTTCTCCCTCCTCCTCCTACCGGCTGAGCTCCACCATAGCCAAGGTGRAAGCTCCCGGCTTCTTCCTCCCARCAGCGCTGTAGTGCCCAGCGCTCCTCCACCTAGCGCTCCAGCAGCGTGACGCCCAACTCGCACACTGAAGAATGAGGCGGAGCTCTTGCCTCCGCCTCTAGATATAGCGGCCTGCTTGCCTCTTGGGCGKTGACTTCCAGGCCGCTCGGCCTCTCCAAGCAACCGGTACCTCCTCCG